CATATTTGTTATTCAAATAATAATCATATTCGATGAATCTGCAAATAATTCAAATAAGCAAATTTATTTGAATATAAATTTTGTTATTAATTATGTTATTGGCTATAGAATTCTAAAATGTTAAAACATAATATCTGGATAGCCAGGTACTATATTTAATGGTACACTTGCAGCAGCTTAACTGGCTATTTTGTATATAGTAGTAGCCAATTTTATTTAGCAAAAATAGTTTAATTGGTTAAATGAGTTTATTATACCAAACAATTTAATTGGCTCTATATTAAAATAACTCACAGCAACTGCATTTTGTGCAATGCAACCCTTGTTTTTTATACAAGCTTATACAAAAGAATCTAAATAACATTATATCAAAGGTCTAACACTCACGTGGTAAAATCCATAACAATAATCACATGACCAAACCGTCTAAAGACACTGCCTACAAGAGCAACACAATTCGAATCGATTCACTAGTATCTCTATTCCGAGAGCGTACCGAGGTAAAATATGCAAACGTTCGATTACAAAATTACACATAAGTAAATAATCAATTATATTTATAATATTTATAATATTTTATCAGCTTATTTAACAGAGCTGTAGTAACGAATCAAATAATTCTATAAGACCGCACAGAATAAATACGTATATTTATTTATTATTAATAGCAATAGCTAGTCTAAAACTATTACATTATTTTACTCAGTCGTCAAATGGATATTCAAAAGGTTCTGGTGGCGACGCCTCCTCTTCTTCCGTCGCATCGGTTGTTGCTAAGTGAATAAAAATGTATTAATTTAAAAATAATAATAAACGAAAAGACATTCTACTTTAACTTACCAACTGGCGTGCTTGGCAGAATTAATTCTTCTGGCTCACCAGGACGTCTATCTATCATCATCAGAATTCCACCGACCGTACCCTATGCATTGATCGTTCCCATGTAAATCATCAATATATAAAAATTATTTATAACTTTTCAACATCATTTAATATACCTTTTTTACAGGAACATAGCGAGAATTCTCTGGAAACGAAATGTATTGTAATTGTGCTGGCAAAACACGCGCCATATTTTCGAGAATTTCAAACGATTCTTCTTTTTTCTTCTTCCCCTTTTTGTCATCCTTTACTTCGTCCTATGCGACAATAATGGGCCTCAATAAAAGATAACAATATTAATCGTTATAAATAATGATATACATACTTTTTCTTCTTCCTTTTTATGTTCTTCCTTGTCCTGCATATGAAATAAATAAATAAATAAATTTGTTCATGTATATATACATATATATGTTATAGATCTAGCTCTCTTAGAACACTTGTTTTTAAAGTTACATTATTAATTTCTTTAGTACTCACCATGTCCATCGCTTCTCCTTCATGAGTTCCTTTCTCCTTCTCTGATTTTTTTGCTCTAGCTTTTGCTTTTGCTGTTGTAGAAAGCACCGCAGTTGCTACCTTTTCTACAACGCTAGTTGATGGAGGTTTAGTTGTCGCAGGATAAGAAAAAAGTGAAGGCTTCGCGTTTGAGATGAACTCAAATTTGGGGATCTTTAATATATATAAATTAGCATTGTTTTTTTTTAGTGAATTCAATAAACAAGGGGAAACAAAGAATGGAGTTCATACCTTCAGCTCCTTATTCAAACCAATAATTGCAGTGGGTGATAAGGCCAAACTCATGAAATGCGTCAATGGGAACCAATACCAAAATTGTGTAAATACGGCCATTCCCACAATAGCGGGCATGTTAGAGTGACCAGACCTCGACTGTAAGGAAATAGTGGCATTTCGACCGCCTAAATAAAGTTATTACTAGTGTCAGATAAACAGCAATATATAATATAAATATATTTTAATATTTATGCTACGTACCTGCATCAATAATTCCTTGTCCTAAAACAGCACCGAATTTTGCCATTGCGTCTTCATGCTTGTCATTTATGATTTTTTCATATAATTTTCGCGTTGGAGTTACTTTGGGATTGGTTGCATCATTTTGTTGTATCAAAATCATAGCAAGTGAAATAAATGCTCCTTGTCGAACGAAATCAACTGGATCTTTAGTCATAGGTTCCAACAGCTCAATAGCTTCCTAATAAGATACCCATATATATAAATATTACGTTTTGATTTAATTATTATTAGATAACGTACCATTAAGCCAGTTCCAGCGCATGAAATTCCCAATGCTAATGTGGCACCATATCGCACATTTGGATTATAACTTTCCGACAGCAATTGTACTATTCGAGGAACCTGCTTTGGTGTTCTGAACAAAATAAATCCAAGTGCTGTTACAGCAGCTCGACGTACATCATCATTGACGTCACTAACAGCAACATGCAATAAATGTCGGATAGCTTTGTTATTTCCAGTACCACAGTATGCCATTGCAACTGTGTATATACCACCATAACGTAAAATTGGATCCTACAAATAAAAATTAATGCGAACCAAACACGTCATGAATTGTAATTATATAATGATCAATTATAAAATAGACAAAGACTCTTACCTTGTCTCGACTGAGCTGTTCAATTAATACATCAGCAGTTTCTTCTTTACCATACATTATTAGTGAAATACCAATTGCCAATCCTCGAATAATTTTTTCATGCTGAGTTTCATGGGCATATTGTAACATCTCTTCTATTGCTTTTTTTGAAGCTGTTCCGAGCATAACAAGCCCCATAGCTAATCCAGCAGCTTCTCCTGCAACTGCACTATCGCTAAAGAGAACCTCTCTAAGTTGTTCATATATTTCTTAATGAAAAAAATTTTTAAGAAAAATTTATATAGAATATTAATTTGCAAATGTATTAAATAAAAATTAAATATCATAATTATTATAAATACCATTGTTTTCAGTTGCCATTCCAGCTGCAGCAAGACCTAAGCATGCACCATGTTGAAGAACTTCAGTTTGTGTGTTTCTCAGCGCAGTTCGTAAGTATTCCAATACTCCAGCACCATGGTTCGCATGAATTAACCCAAGAGCAAATAACGAGCCTCCTTCTGAATATGAACTTCCATTCACACCGTCTTGTGGTAAATATGGCTGCAGTAAAGTGAGTCCTTGAGATAAATGGCCCTTGTGTATTACACCAAGAGCTGCTGTAGCACTGAATTTTGACCAATTGGTGGCACGCGAAAGCCATTCAAGATTTTGACGAAGAAACTCATCACTTGTTGTTCCTGCGTGCATGAACGCGTTGGCAAATGTTACAGCAGAATGATACACCGAATTTCGAGATTCTAATGCGTTCTGTTGCAAAATTAAGTTAAATATATTAATTAATACTAATTAAAAACAAAAATAACACTTTATACCTTTGTGTTTTTCAAAATAAGCAAATCGGTATGATTATTTCGATACAGAAATTCCAAGTGTAATTTGATAGATTCTTCCCCGGACAATATATTACGGATACGGACATATTTTTCATTTAATTGGCTAGCAGACTGGTAAAAATTAATATATGGTATTAAAGTTGAATCACACATAAATTTAATGATAAATTTACAATTACCTCTGGTTCGTCAGTTTCCATAGCTTCACCATCTTGCTTTTCACTATGAGTAGATGATGACCCAACAGGTAATTCGCTTATAACTCTTTGAAGAAATTCTTGGGTGGCGTTTTCTTCAAGATCAAATGCAATTTGATAAACCATCAATAACAAAACCTGTAATTTAATAATAGAAATAAATATTCAATACTAAATATGAATAGGTTCAATAAAACAATAAATTTGTTAAACTGAAGTATATATACATCGTCGCATTTTGTAACGAGATCTTGCAATAGTTTAGCTGCCGATGAAGATTCATTCAAATGCACAAAACATTGACTGATTGATATATAATCAGGATCTCCAAGGTTTTGATATAATTTTACCAATAACCACAGCACCTAAGAAAATATATATAATTATGAATTTAATCCTTAATAACCGCAAATATAAACAATTTTTTCTGACTATTAAATGATCTACCTTATTTCTAAAATCTAAATTTAGAACCAATGTCATACTCTTATCTAATACATAGGCCAAGAGTTCAGAAGATGGGCCTTTGCTTATTGCCTGTTCAATAATATCTAATCTACGAGCTTCCAATGAGATACCAATCGCCTATTTTTGAATATAAACTTTTAGTAAGAAATTCAATTTATCATATTTTATATCTTTTGAATTAACTATTACTTGTTTATATTCTCCATCATCGTAGCATCGTTGAAACATTCGTTCAACAACGTCTTGCAATCGTGGATCTATTTGCTGAGCACTTGAAGGATTGTCATATTCTTGTACACGCAACAAGATGTATTTGTCGATGCATTTAGCTAAAAATTCACATAAATTTATTAATAAAAAACATTGTACCACAGTTTCGTACTATATTACCTTTATGCTACAATTAAATATAACATACATATGATGGTCTCTACATATTCCGATTTAGAAGACGCGTCAAACAAATCGCCAGCACCCAATGCAAAAGTCAAAGAATCGTCAAATTCTCCCAAATGATAGTACACCTAAGGATTATGATCACGAGACATCAGATGACGAGAGCTTATATTATATATCTACCCCTTTTTTTTTAATAGGACCGATAATAAAAAAAAAAGCATACCTTTGAAGCAACAAGAGCAGACAATTGTCTTTGAGGAAAGCCCTCATCTTCGTAAAGAATTTCGCTATGAATGACAAGACAAGGAGATCCCAAGAAAGTGAGCCCTTATTCTTGTAACGAAAATGCGCTGGTGTATAAGTAGACCAACTAATGTGATGTTCCACTTTTCGAAGATAACATAAAAAGGCCTTTTGAGCGCAAAGATGCTGTCTAGCATTTTATACGCTGTATTCAATTCGTAAAAAATAATAATTTTCACTTACATTTTTTGAACAGCATCCGAGATTTCGGCCCAAAATTGATCGACAATTTCGTTCAATTTTTTCAGAGCATATATTTTGAGTTCCTCCTCTGGCTCCTCGAGGAGGGCAATAACGCCACCTTTAATGTAGGTACGCTAATGCTTTTAGCATTGCTAGTAGCATAATTCAAAAAGTATGAAAAGATATACCTGCAGAAGTTAATCCAACCATGTTTTTTTCGTATTTTGAGAATCAAGGTAGATTAATCAGGTTTATCGATTTGTCTAGGGGTTTTATCTAGATGTGTAACCGAATACATCACCATATTACGTATTTCCTTACGTATTTCCTTACGTACGTACTCCCTGCTTTTAACATCAAATTTATCATGTGACTGCATCAATGCCCCAAGAGTAGGGTGTCCAGGATTATGCGATGCAATAGGGTCAATTATGCGATGCGATTGGGGTCAATTATGCGATGGATGCGAAATAATTATAAAATTATGCGAAATATTTAAATAGAGGATGCGATTTTTAATAAAAGATGCGATGCGATTAATTTTATAGCATAATTTACTCTTATCCTTCGGAAATTTTCGTTTGTTTAGGGAAGTGCCGTTTATTACGTAATTTCAAGAGGGGGGGAGGGGGGTTGCCAGTCTATCACGTCTATATATTATATATAAAAATTATAATTGGCTACTGATTAGATCACAGGGGGGGAGGGGGTATGACCTTATAATAAAAAGAAATTACGTAATAAACGGCACTTCCCTTACTAAAAAATTTACCTCAACCATGCTCGTAATTTAGGATCATTCATTTTCTACATCGGAATGTTTCGGAATTTACCTCACCCAAATAACACACTCCAAGTATTAACATCAACCAATCATATTCAATTCAAGACATGCCCGATTATGCATCTGCGGATGCAATTTGTTAAATTATGCGCATATTATGCATTCGCATAATCCTGGACACCCTACCCAAGTCGCCGGGTTGCATTTGACCAACCAGATTTTGTACAAACAAATGCTATTAGCGTTAGAGATAGAGTATACTATAGTGAAATCTTATATACAAGGATTTTTTTACTAGAATACGAAGGGTGGTTTTATGGGCAAGATTTTGAGCTATTGCAATTTTCAAGAGATCCTACAGGTAAATTACAAAGCATATTGTAAAATACAGAAATACATATCGATACACAATAGAATATACAAAGATACATTACATGTGCAGACGATGACCATTATTACCAAATGGCGCAAAATTTAGGTTGAATGACCTTGGTTTATACGATTGATCATTTCTTGAACTTTTTGGTTAATTAATTATAGGACTCCTTGTTTGAAATCATCGCCTAATTGTTGGACTGTTCATTTGTTGGACTTCTTGTAGACTTTCTGGTTGATCAATCTAATTTCATATCGATAACCGGAATGTCTGCATTTAATATATTTTTTTTTGGTGCATATTTTGTTTTTTTTTATTTTTAATAATAATTACATTTTATATTACCTTCAATACGCAAGGTATCGATTAATGTACTGTGCTTAATGTAGGAGCGTAAAACTTAATATTTATTTGTACGAATGGTTGATAAGACTTGTCAACGTTGTGTTTGTGAATAGGTACTATAGTCCATAGTTCAGGAAAATCATATTTTTTCCATAGTACTTTAAATAAATTTTTTTCTTGACACATTGAAGATATATAAATCTATTAATTCTGTGGAATGAAAGTGACTGCCCAAATCAAGCATTGTAAAACCTTGATATGTATAAAAGGATGATTAAGAAGCTTCGTAATACAGTTTATAACAAACAATATGTCACGACTTAAAATATTCGAAAAATAAACAAATATTGTATATGTAAATTTTTTTCAAAATAATTTCCAGTTTTAACTAGACCACAATATTTCCATAATGATAACAATTACACACGAGGTTTGTTACAGAAATTCAAATTTACATTTTTGATATTTTTATTAATAAAGCATCAAAAATGGAATTTTGGTATCACTTTGCATATACAATGATAATAATAATTTTTGAATAATATCAGGCTTTACCAATGTTGTAGATGTAACTTATTTTCAGTTTGTTGCCCTTTTAATACATATCAGTTTTTTCAAAATAGATATCATGTTTTGGTTTTTCTAAAAAATAAATTTCGGTTATATCAAAATTTTTTTTATGTAATAATATTCGTGAATTATCAGTTATAAAGCATGATGGTGGTATAAATAGTTGATAATCTATTAATAAAAATGATGACTCATTAACCTTTTGAATAGCAGTGCTAAATCGAAATCCAAAAATCTTTAAGTCTTGATTGATTTGCTAATAAAGAAAGTATATTGGACTTATTTTATAGATTTGTGTTATTATGCATACTTTTAATGTTGTTAATTATTTGATTGATTTTTCAACATAAATTTATTAGATAATAGATAGGATTTCACCCTTTGTAGTACATTTATTTATTTATTTTTTTTTAAATTTGGCAATCCTGCCTTTATTGTATTAGAAGTGCGTAATCTAAATACATAGTTTCCGAACAACAAGCCTGCAATAAACTCAATGTCCTTTTACCCTCCTACTCTTCAATAAAGACTCACTCAGCTGCTTGTAATGGTGCCCAAGTGTGATCTGCCGCAGCAATAATTCACTCCTCTCCAGCATCTAACTTACTAGATGACTCTTTCAAAAAATCACTGAAAGCTTATTGCTAGCTTTGTATAGTACATTTATTAAAACACATAAAAATTTTAAAAAATTATAAATTTAAAAAAAAAATTTATAAAAAAATCTATTTAATATTCTAATTTGGTTCTATTTAATTTTTTTAAAAATTAATAATTAAGTTATTGAAAGAAAAGATTTTAATCAAATTTATTTTTTAGAATTTTTAGTATACTACAAATAGTACACTTTTTAAGTATTATTATATAAAAAAATAATAAAATTTTATTATTATTAAAAAATATTATTATTTATATTGTAAAAATATTATTCACACTTATAAGCTATTAATTGCAAATTATTACTATTTTTAGTAATACATAGAGTTTATTCAAGTTTTAGAATTTTAAAAAAAATTTTATTAAATAATTTGTTTAAATTTTTAATAAAAGTTATAAAAAACTTTGTAATTTATTAAAAAGCAAAATGAAAATGGCGACTCATTGCCATGGAGACCCTATAAAAATTAACCAATAATTTTAAGCAATAGTGATACAAACTTTCACTATAAACATGGTTTGCTCATAAAAACAAAAACAAAACCCGCACCAAAAATTTGAATGAAAAATACTAGTTTTGTCATAAATTTCAATTCCAAAAATAAATCTAGATTTCTATAATTGAAAGTTCTAAAGATACTAGTATTTACTACTTATTTTCTGTGTAGGTTGGAATATATAGTAAATTTTTAACAGAATAAGTTTTTTTTTCTCTTCCTTCCCTTCATTCTTTTTTTTGAAGACATCAAAAGCGAAGCAGTTTCTTCTAATATATTTTATTGAATTAACTTTAACTTTAGGATTAGGGTCATCTTAGATTAGGATTAGATAGGTTTTAGGTAGCAATATATAAGCAAAGTTGCTTTCTTGATATTTTTAATTAATCCATCAAGGTAGGTTTAAACTACCATTTTTTGTATTTTTCAAGGTTTTCGCTTCTCTTGTTTGCTTCGTCAAAGATTATCAAAATTCTATAATTTGATTGGATGTGATTCTGCTCCACTTTAAACAACCCCCTTTTTTTTGTTCTGTAGTTTTTAGAACGCGAACTTGTACTTGGAATAATGGAAACTTGGCAGGTTTCAGAAATTTGTCACCTAAAAATTTATAATCGTTTAACTATGATAACTATGATAGTTATTTAATTCAGTCAGCATTAAGTTGATAGTTAAACTGTTTCAATTCTTGATTATAATTATTAAATATTATCCAATCGATTATTAATAACAATGTATTTGAAATTGTGATATTTCTAAAAGATTGCTACTACTTAGCAAATATAAATTTCATGAAAAGGTAAATCTTATACATAATTATATTGCAAATATTAATTTGTGAAATTTGAAATATATGAGTAGCAATATTAGATATTTTGGATATATAATAGTAAGCACCGATTCTTTATTTTTTATTTGATTTCTTTCTTTTTCAACAATAATTCCTTTTCTCAGTCTTTAAATAAAATTGTATTGGGGAATGAAATCCTAGACTTTCGCGAAATAAGTTTTCTTCAATGGTAATTAAATTCTTTCTGTAGGTTCTCAAAACGCAAAATTGTACCGGGAATAATGAAGTTTTGGGCTTGGTGAGTTCTGAGAACTGGTCTTATATTAAGCATTAATTTTTTTTTTTTTTTTTTTTTCAATAGTCATTAATTTTTCTTTTGTATACCAAGCCTTCTTTGAAACAAAACTTCACTGGAGGATGGAATATTGAGATAAGTATTCTTCTTTTCTTTTTTCCTTGTTTATTCTTTTTTTTCAGTAGTAACTAACACATTCTTTTGTAGATTCTTAGAATATGGAATTGTGCTAAGAATAATAAAATTTTGGGCCTGACAGGTTCTAAAAACCGGTCTTGTAGTAAGCACTGATGTTTTTTTTTATATTTAGGCTTGGCGAGTTCCAAAAACTGGTCTTTTTTCTCTGTTTTCTCTTTTTTTTTGTATTTAGCACCTTTTTATTTGTAGGTTCAGGTCTTTGAATGAAAGCACACTGGAGATAATTCTTGGGATAAATACTTTTTTTTCGTTATTTAGTGATGACTAATTCTTTCTTAGGTCCTTAGAATATGAAATTGCACTGAAAATAATAGAGTTTTAAGCTTGGCGAGTTTTAAGAACTGGTTTTGTAATAAGCCACTATTCTTTTTTTTTTTTTTTTTTCTGTTTTCTCTTTTTTTCATATTTAGCTTCTTTTCTTTTATAGGTTCGAGCTTTCTTTGGAGCAAAGGTACACTAGGTAATAGAATCTTGGACTTGTATAAGATAAATATTTTTTTTTTTATTTTGCTTTTTTAACTAACTCATTCTTTTTATAAATCCTTAGAACAAGAAATTATACCAAAGATAATGGAGTTTTTGGCTTGGCAACTAGTTTTGTGATAAGAACTAGTTATTTTTATTATTATTATTTTTTTATCAATAGATTAACTCCTTTTTCTTGTAAATCAGGTCATCTTGAAACGAATTGCACCGGC